GATTCCGAGACAGCGGAATCGACCGTTACAAACTTTTCGTGGCACACCACAATCTCTCGGGTGCTCTTGACGACGCCTAACCGTCTAGGATCGAAGAGTCCAAGAGTAACAAATGCGAATCACGAGATTGACAATATGCACAAGTGCTCAAGTGGTTGGATTGCTCTCTTTTTGAATTTCACTCAACCCACAATTTGATTTGGCAAATTTGATCAATCACTCATTAAGAGAGGGTTGGGAGAGTTGGTAAGGCTAAAAAACGTGTATAGCAACCAGCAGAATCAGCAGTCTCTAAAGGTGGAGGCTTGGGGTATTTATAGCCCCCTTGGAAAAACTAGTCGTTTTATAGCCGTTGCCATACCGGACATACATTACATTGCCCCAACGGTAACTAGGTTATAGTGACAATTTGAGGCGTCGGAACTCCCGATAAATGTCAGAACTTCCGACCGTCGGAACTCCCAACCCTTAGCATATTTGAAAACTAAGTAACTGAGTAGAAGTTTGTGAGGTGTCGAAACTCCCGACGCATGCCGAAACTTTCGACCGTTTTAGCCGTTGGCTTCTGGCCGTCCATACCGGACACGTCTGGTATGACCAGGACAATGAACCACTGAGTCAGTTAAGCGCGAAACGTCGGAACTCCCGACCTATGTCGGAATTCCCGACCATCGAAACTTCCGACCCACATCGGAACTCTCAACGAACAAACCCGAGAACAATAAGAATTTTATCATGGCTGGGCACATACCAGACACGTCCTGGGATTGCCAGACCGGCAAAAACAGATTAGCTCTTTTGTCTCTCAAACACTCAAAACTCATATGGGTTGGCTTGAGCACTTATGAAACGTTATCTATCAACATGATGCATCCCTCTTAATAGTACGGCATTTCTATTAACTCAGATTTAAAAGTATAACGAATTTAAATATTTTGAGTTGATCTCTTTCAACCGAAGCCGTGTATTACAATCTTCATCAAGTGAGGGTGCCAACATGTTGATATTGATCTTTTCACTTGAGCATAGCCATCTTGAGCATGTGACTTGATTCCATTCATCAAATTTGAATAATCTCAAATGTATCAAGTCACTTTCATCAAACACTCCAATAGTGATTTGATCCTCCACATTGACATGATCATCATAGCTTGATTAGTACATCAACTAAATGCAAGTACTTCCTTCTTCACCGTAGCTAGGTTCTTGACCGCCAAACCGTCGCTTGCCCTTCACCCTTGCTTAGTACATCGAAGCATTTTCTTGCTATCTTCATCATCTCAAGCCATCAAGTCACATCTTGTGTTGAATCATCCATTCATTTGTGTTGTTATCTTTTTCATTTTAATATAGCAAGCTTCAAATATGAGACCATTCCATATGCAATCCCTCATGTCTCATTAATTAATTCTTACGAGCTTGCTTTCACATAGTACATGGAAATACCATAATAAATAAGTCTTTGTATGAATTCCATTTGCATTGTTGTCTTGTGCTTGAACTAGATTGTTTATACAACAACACGTTATTTTAGCTTTAATTAAGTATCGATGAGATAACCTATTACCTGTCCACACTTAGTAAACGGGTTAGATCTTTAATTATGTTGCCATTCAATCATCAAAAACCCACTAAAGGGATAGATGCACTTTCACGGAGCTCTCACCCGAGGGGTCGGGCGAGACAGAGAACGAACCCAAGGGGTTCGGTGAGACAGAGCGCGCGACCTTGGGGTCGGGCGAGATGAAGCTCTCACCCGAGGGGTTGAGCGAGACGGAGCCCGCGGCCTCAAAGTCGAGCGAGACGGAGCTGCGGTCTTGGGGGAGACCCCCGGCCTAGAGGTCGGGCGAGACGGAAACCGCATCCTTGTGGTCGGGCGAGACAGAGTCTGTATCCAAGGGGTTGGGCGAGACGGAGCATGAACCCAAGGTGTTGCTCCGGCGGTCTCCCGATCAGCCGAGGAGCGCCAGTCGGAGAGGAGAAGGAGGTGAAGGCGGTGGTGCACTGTGACTAGGGTGAAGAAGGCCGGAGTGGCACAGCCACAGCGCCATGCCATGGCGGAGGAGAGGCAAGGTCCGGCGGCTTCTTCTTCAGCTGGAGCGGCGGCAATGGCTGGCTCTTTGGAGGGCGGCGCGAGAGCGAGGAGATGGTGGCGGAAGGCGAGGCGACATCATCGGTGTCAGTAGTGTGGCTGGGTGGGTGGAGGACATGGAAGGGAGCGATGGTGATGGGCGCAGCTCTGCTCGCCCGGCAAATGGCGGTCATGGCTGGCGCATCCGCGCTCTGGCGTGGAGCGAGGAAGGGAGCGAGCAGAGACGAGGGCGGGCGAGTGAGGGAGAGGGGGAAGCTCGGGCGTCCACTTTGGAGGACGTAGAGGCACGGCAGGGAGACAGGCGCACGCGGCATCGGCGTACAGCAATGGTGGGGGCACGGCCGACGCATAGAGGACGCGTCACGGCATTTCCTCGGACAGGTGGTGAGCGACGATCGGGGCAAGGTGGGAGCCGATTTTGGGTTGGCTTCGGGCCGATTTGGACCTTGGGCCCAAAAGCAAAGTTGAAGCACACCTGATAATCTACAAAACTCATTAAGGAGGCCTGGCCATTAGAGCTCTCCAATAGCACCTAATTAAGCCCGAAGTTGACAGTGTCATCGACTAATCGAGGATTAAGCCTTGCTCTCCTTGAGCTCGAATTACTTGGTCAAAACGTGGTCAAATGGATTCCAACTTTTTGTATGCCCTTCTCCAAGATGTAAACTACAACTTTTATTTTGGGATCAAGTCAAGCTGCCTAATGAAAACACGAGAACGCGACATGTCAACTATCCTTGCCACTAATCTCAGACATAATATTTTCCAGGGCTGAAAACAGCAGCTGATTCAAACTTGAGACCACTGTTTGAGCCACTTAGGAGTTGAAATAGGTCTTGGTCCACAAATAAAGTTTGTTGTATTCCACTCAAACTTCAACTTTTATTAAAGGTCAAACTTCATATCTGGTACAGAAACCATTGTTTCATCTTGGTCAAAGCAGCACCTCGTTAAACCCTAGAATTAGGGTTTTCGACCAATTGAGGCATTTTGTTTATATTTGCTCAACACGAACCCTTCATGACTTTTATTGTAGAGTTCAATTATAGTCATTTGGGCAAGGTAGCAAGGTTTGGTCGACATCTCATATTCCCATTTACTTAATAAAGCAATTCCATCAAGGTTATAACTTATCATTTCATGTGACTTCTTGGCTCCAATCTTCATGAAACCTTCCCACTGTTCAAGATGGATGCATGTTGATGTAATGTACATGAAACAAGCATGTTTAACATTACTCATGCCTACCCTTAACCAGGATCCACATGTAAACAAAGTGTATTGTCCGAGTCCACGTTGGGGCTCATTTTCATAGGTTTGATCTCAATAGCTTCATCATTACTTTCAGATTATGAACTAGAGATCATAATCATTGCTTGATATATCCTACTTAAGTCCAATTTTGCTGCTTAACTCGTGACTAACACCCGGGGTGTTACAGGACCCATTCAACTTTACTGTGCTGGAGTACGAGTAGCTTCGTCCATATTGAGTGCGATGTAACGTTTACCGATATAAGACGCCTTTAATGCCCTGTTTAGCATAGCTCTTCGGTTTGTCTTGACACAATTACGGGCCTGTTTGGATGAGTTTCTTTGAATTCTTAAAAACCAATTTTTTGCCTCTAATTTCTAAAATATGGATGCTGAGCAAAAACTGGTGAGGGTGTTTGGATCCCCAGGTTTTAAGAATCTAGCTTCATTTATTGCTCACTTGGTCACAAGAAACTGACAAAAGTTGGGTACCAATGTCTTCTTGGGTTTTAAGAATCTGGCAACAACTAACACAAAAAACTAGACAAAAACTAGCATGTTTAGATCCAATCCAGGTTCTTAAAAACTGGAGGATCCAAACAGAGTCTGCACTAGCAAGATCATTTCTTTCTCTTCTTCTCTAAATGAACTCAATGTTCTTTTTGTTTGCACCATCTTGCTCTGCTCCTCAGCAAGACAGCAACCATAGCAAACACCGGTAGCTACAGAAACCTTGCCAAAAAAAGGCTTGAATAAGAAATAAGAAACCTTTGACTTGAAAGGCCACTCACAGTCAGAGATGAGTTCCATCACTCGCGGGTAAATTCAACCTTCAACCATCAACCCCGGCTATTTTCAGTTTTCTTCGGAAAGATAATAATTTCCTCACAAACAACTATCAGTACAGTAATAATATTTGTAGAGTAAAAACAGCAGAGAGCAGGGTGGTGCGGTGCAGAACAGAAAGCATTGCTGCGGCGTGGGATCCCGTCCGTCCATCCGTCACCTGCGAATTTTCGCGCTGGCCATGTTTATCAGCCAGCGTCAGTCGACGTCGACCTATAAGCGACAGAAGCGAGGAAGCGAACAGGGCTGCGCGTCCGTCCGTAGGTGTGGTGAGGTGCGCGGCAGCGCCCGCCACTGCTCTAGTCCTGCCCGCCGCAGCTGGCCGCAGCTGACCTGCTGCTGCCCGGCCACTGCACCGCACCCACCACCCACCCCGTCTCGATTTTGCTGCCGCTGCAGGCCGGTCAGACCAGACAGCCACTCAGCCAGCTACGCCTTCCCCAGCCGGCGAACCGAACCGGACCGGACCGGAGTGACCGGACCGCGCGAACCCGTGGTCCAAGCCAACGCGGCCGGGTCACCACCGGCTTTCTTTTTGTCCGAACGCCACCGCTGCGTCTCGTGGGGGGTGTCTATCTCTACTCCCTACAAAGAGACCACCACACCAAATCCCCCCCTACCCCATCTCCTCCCGTCTCCCCTCCTCTCCTTCCTCCGCCCACAAAAACACTTCCCCCCCTCCGATTGCTACTGCCGCTGCCTCCTCCCCCCTTTCCGCCTGCCTCCTCTCCCCCTTTCCGCGCCCTCTTCTCCTCCGTCTAGGGTTTCCTACCCCGCCGCCGCCGCCGCCGCCGCCCGATCCGAGGCAGATGCCTCCCGCAGCAGCCATGGCGCTGCCGTCCCAGGTCCCGTCTAACTCAGGTACGCACGCGCTCGCCAGATCCGGCCAGCTCCGGCTGCCCGCTGTCTTCTCTCTCTCTCTGTTCGTGTTCGCCGTCTCCTCCCCGCGGGAGCTCCTGCTGATGGTGCCTGGCTCTGTTCCGGCAGGGGATCCGCTGTACCCGGAGCTCTGGCGCGCCTGCGCCGGCCCGCTCGTCACCGTCCCCCGCGTCGGCGACCTCGTCTTCTACTTCCCCCAGGGACACATCGAGCAGGTACACCTCCTCCTCCTCGTCTTCCCGCTCTTGCTCTGCTCCCGCTGGAGCTTTAGCTTGCTCCCCTGCTCCGGTTGCTGATTTTGGGTGCTCGTGGCTCTCAGATGGAGGCGTCCATGAACCAGGTCGCGGGGAACCAGATGCGCCTCTACGATCTGCCCTCCAAGCTGCTCTGCCGCGTGCTCAACGTCGAGCTCAAGGTTCCCTCCTTCCCGCCGTGTTTTTCTACCCTTCCCCGGGTTTTCGCTGCCAATTCCGCGTCTAGCGCGGCCGCTTCCCCTGCGGCGAGCAATTCCAGGCCCGGTGCTTACGCGTTTTCCGGGTTTTTCAGGCGGAGACGGACACCGACGAGGTCTACGCGCAGATCATGCTCATGCCAGAGCCCGAGGTAGCCTCCCAACTCGGACGGCACGTGTTTCGGGAAAATTTCTCTCGGTACTCGGAGATTCTCACTTGCTCTCGCTTTGCTTGTTCGTTCATGCAGCAAACCGATGTGGCGGCTGAGAAAGCCAGTTCTGCGTCCGCTGCGTCGCCGAGGCCAGCAGTCAGGTCCTTCTGCAAGACGCTCACCGCCTCCGACACCAGCACACACGGCGGTTTCTCTGTGCTGCGCCGCCACGCAGACGAGTGCCTCCCTCCACTGGTGTGTGTTCTTCACCCCTTGTGGATTTGGACTATGCTATTAATAGAACTAGAGATGCGCGAGCTTCTGCCTAAGATTTTTCTCGTCGGGTCAGCTGATCTTCTTTGTTCGGTTGGCAGGATATGACGCAATCGCCTCCCACACAGGAGCTGGTGGCGAAGGATCTACATGGCATGGAGTGGCGCTTCCGCCACATCTTTCGCGGTAATTTGGGCTCCTCTCATTTGCCGTGGTTCGTACCTGTCGTGTATGCTATGGGACTGATTGATTTGTTGCACCGTTACTTTCGATTGTCTGTGTGATGTCGATTTATTCAGTATTTTTTGTTTAGATTATCCATCAGTTTCTCTGTGATTCATTGTATCTGTTATGCTAATTGAAAAGCGCCTGATGTTGATGATGATTGTTAACTGTGCGCAAAATCTGTCTTCAGGGCAACCTAGGAGGCATCTCCTTCAGAGTGGTTGGAGTGTTTTTGTTAGTTCCAAAAGGCTTGTTGCTGGAGACGCCTTCATTTTCCTCAGGTCTGCTGTGTTTCCTGCCTACCCAGCATGAAAGCAATTCCCGATCTGGTGCTAAGTTTCTGTTATTCCTTATGCAGAGGAGAAAATGGTGAACTTCGAGTTGGTGTTAGGCGGGCTATGAGGCAGTTGTCTAATGTACCTTCTTCAGTCATATCTAGCCAAAGCATGCACCTCGGAGTCCTTGCGACTGCATGGCATGCCATCAACACCAAATCTATGTTCACTGTCTACTACAAGCCCAGGTATGTTGACATGTCTGCAACAAACTGATTACATTTCTGAGACTTTACATATTGGTTTACCTTGATAATCTTGCATGAAGCTATAACATGCAATTTGTTCTTAATAAAGCTAGTTAACTTGTTGATCTCTAAATATCAATGTTAGGACGAGCCCTTCAGAGTTCATCATACCATATGATCAATATATGGAGTCAGTAAAAAACAATTATTCTATTGGGATGAGATTCAGGATGAGGTTTGAAGGGGAAGAGGCACCAGAGCAGAGGTAACTGTCTTATTGTTATTCTGTGTTTTGTAGCTTCATGTCACCTGGTCCCATCATTGTACCTGCTCATGATTTGTAGTTACTTATTCGTGATGCATTTTTATCTTGTCTTGTAGGTTTACTGGTACAATCGTTGGCTGTGAAAATCTTGACCCACTATGGCCTGATTCGAGTTGGAGATACTTGAAGGTAACTGCTTATTCAATATTTGTTGTTTCCATTATGGTCTTAAATCTTATGCTGATGAAGGGTTGCTTTTTTTTATTAATTATAGGTGCGCTGGGATGAGCCTTCTACAATCCCACGACCGGATAGGGTCTCTCCTTGGAAGATAGAGCCTGCTTCATCACCTCCAGTTAATCCACTCCCACTTTCTTCTAGAGTAAAAAGACCTAGACAAAATGCTCCTCCACCTTCACCTGAAGCATCTGTTCTCACAAAAGAAAGTAAGTTTACTAGATTGTTCAGTTACAAGAGCAATGGTGACTAAAATATAGCCAGGCCAGGCTAATGCTTTACAAATCATCTTGTGGAATTTGTAGGTGCAGCCAAGATCGATATCGACTCTGCTCAAACACATCATCAAAATTCGGTCTTGCAAGGTCAAGAGCAGATGACCTTGAGGAACAACCTGACTGAAAGCAACGACTCTGATTCCACTGTTCAGAAGCAGATGATGTGGTCCCCATCACCCAATGGGAAAGCCCACACTAATTTTCAGCAGAGACCTGCTATGGAGAATTGGATGCCATTGGGAAGGCATGAAACTGACTTAAAGGACACACGTTCTGCCTTCAAGGATGCCCGCACTGCCTCTCAATCATTTGGAGATACGCAGGGGTTCTTTATGCAAGCTTATGATGACAATCATCACCGTATTTCTTTCAACAACCAGTTTCAAGATCAAGGTTCAGCTCATCGCTTTGTGGATCCATACTTCTATATGGCTCAACAACCTTCTCTTACCGTTGAATCAAGCACAAGGACACAAACAGCTAACAATGACTTGCGTTTCTGGAGCGACCAGAATACGATCTATGGTAATCCAGGTGATCAACAGCAGCAGGGTTTCAGCTTTGGACAAAACCCATCAAGTTGGTTGAACCAGCCATTTCCCCAGGTTGAACAGCCACGAGTGGTCAGGCCCCGTGCAACAGTTGCTCCATTTGATTTGGAAAAGACTAGAGAAGGCAGTGGGTTCAAGATTTTTGGGTTCCAAGTTGATACAACCAGTCCATCTCCTGTCCAGTTGAGCTCTCCATTGTCTGCTATCCGGGAACATGTGGTACAAACTCGACCATCGGCACCTGTGAATGAATTGCAACCTGTGCAAAATGAATGCTTGCCTGAGGGGTCTGTAAGCACAGCTGGAACTGCAACTGAGAACGAGAAAAGCATTCAGCAAGCCCAGCAAAGTTCAAAAGATATTCAAAGCAAGTCCCAGGGTGCTTCGACAAGGAGCTGTACAAAGGTATTGTTTGGTGGTCTTCCTAGGTTGCCAAACATTTCCATCTGATAGAATTAAATTAAAAAAAATAAAAAGAAGTCAATTAACTCAACATGCCCGATGATACATGTCATGGATGCTTTCAGTCCATGTAGAATGGCTTGATTGCACCATTATAGATGTATGTATATGTATAATAATATTGCATGATTGCTTTGTGGCTGAGCCTATATTTTTTCTGTACTCCTATCCTCTGCAATTTACACTTCTGCTTTGAATGGTTTTCAGGTTCATAAGCAAGGAGTTGCGCTTGGCAGATCTGTGGACCTCTCTAAATTCACTGACTATGATGAACTCAAAGCAGAACTAGACAAGATGTTTGAATTCGATGGCGAACTAGTATCTGCCAACAGAAACTGGCAGATCGTTTATACTGACAACGAGGGTGACATGATGCTTGTGGGAGATGACCCGTGGGAGTAAGTCTCTATCTTACTCGGAGCTTGATATATGTATGTGCTTTTGTTCCAATGTTGACACCAGTTCATTATTTATGAGCAGAGAGTTCTGTAGCATAGTGCGGAAGATCTACATCTATACAAAGGAGGAGGTCCAGAAGATGAACTCAAAATCATCTGCTCCAAGAAAGGAGGAACCTCTAGCAGCTGGTGAAGGTTGCGCCGCCACAAATGAGTAGGATGTCTGCCTGCCCTGTAGCAAGCAATTTTAGATAACTAGGTAAGTCCTCCTTTGATCCTCAATACTTTTTTTTGCAAAAGTGATGGCGAATGGGTTTTTAACTGAACTAAATAAACATTGGATGTCTCTGTTTAGTAACTGTAAATGCATTGCTAAATTCAGCATCTGGTAAGCTTAGCTCTTCTAGAACTGTCACATGATGTTGATTCTTGATCCCGAAAGGCGAAAACCTCTGGTCACAAGATACTTATGTTTGGCATGATAAGCTGCACTGAAAAAGGAAAAGGGGCTCATCTTTCCTTTGTCCCTTTTGGCTTGTGTGTAGGTTGTGTGAAGGAAGCTGACGATGCATGATGGACTCCTGAAATCTTTTGCTTGTCCGTAGCGACCCATCCCGTCCGTTTGGGTTTTAGTAGTGAACGTAGAACTGTCTCCATTTGCTTCTCCTCAGTTTGCACTTGGCAGCAAGTTTAAGGGCCAAGATTATTACTACTATTGTTATTGCTGATTTGCTTTTCTGCCTTCTGATGTAAATATTTATGTACCCAGTCCCAGCCTAGTATTAAGTAGGTAGCAAGCAGTAGCAGTACCTTTGGTATTAACCAGCAGCTATTCGCGGCATTTTAATCCCCTGTAAGCGTAGTTCTGTAGCGTGAGATAAATGGCAAACACTGGTATATGTATGTCTGATCTTCTCACTGAATGTATTATAAGAGTTATAGAGGACCTAACCTGTGACCTCCCCGGTCTGCTCAACACGCTGTGTGCTGTGTGATGCATATGCTTAGGGCAAATCCGTGTCGTTTACACTGTCTTCGTGGCGATGACAGTGACCTAAAGGCACACACTGGCTGTATTTGCCATCCATATGCATGATTGGGGGATGGGAATGCAGGGCAAGTGTGTGGCGGGGGCCCTCTGCCTCTCCCTCCTTATCGTGTTGCCTGCCTGGTGTCTGGTGATGCAATGCAAAGGAAAGCGAAGCAAAGCGAAAGGCAAAGGCATTAAGGCAGGCAGGGCAAGGCAACTGGAGGTAGGACTCCTGCCGGGGGCGCGATTTCCTGTCCCTTTTGGTGTGTTCTGTTAACGCACGGAACCGAGGAAGTGGTGGTGCTGCTGTGCTGTTTTTGCAGAGAAGAAAGCAAGAAAGGGTGCCGCCGTGCCCGGGCAACCAACCAACCAGGCGTGTGGCTGACGCCCATTCCGCCTGCCTCCCTCGGCCCTGCGCCCCTGCCTGGCAGCCAGTCTCTCTCCCCCGACTTCCCCGTGGAAAAACAACACCGTGCGGCATTTCCTCGCACGGTTGGCGCCACTTTCCACTGGTACCGTGTCGTGTTTGACCCGTCCGCCTGGGTTGCGCTTCCGGCGGCGCTCGTGCTGCCAGCCAGAGCCAACCATCTCGCTCCGCCGGTCAACGTGGCTGGCTCGGTGCGCTCATCCTGCACTAGGAATTTGCGAAATGGAAATGCGCCTTGGACCGGCAAGGGAGAGGAGGGGGAGGGTTCACCGGACGGAACACCTGGTGCCGTGTAGCGTGGCTGGAAACTGGAAAGGGACCTAGCTTTCCGATGTGCGCGAGCGCGAGGGTCCCTTTCGGCGCGCCGGAGGTCGAAACGTGGCGGCGAGGTTCGCTGCATGCTGATCCGATGCCTCCCTCCATGGGTCCGGACCCCGGAGGATATGCTTGGGGCTTGGGTGGTCGTCAGAATTTTTTATTTTTTAGCTCTTTTCTTTTTCAAAAAAATTCGTAAATATGTTCATGGAGGTATGATTTTAAAATTTAGACTCTTAGCTCGGCGTCATCGTTGCTGGCGTCGAGCTTACACGTCTCGACATCATCGCTGTTGGCGCCAAGGTCTTGGGCTCGATGCAGACGTGACGCGCCGTAGATCTTGGCGCCAAGCTTGACGCCAATATCAATGGCGCCGAGGTGGTGTTTTAACCCGACCCCAACCTTCCTGTCCGAGTCTTCTTCCACAAACCCTCACAGCATCCTAGTCTTACCCTTACCCTTGTGACCAAGAACACTGGTACCTGGAGTGTAAGGGTCAGGTGGACGGCGTCGCCTAATGCCTGGAGGCTTTGTAGGCTGAATCGAGGGAGCGTCCTGCAGCTGAGAGGGGCCAAGCTCCTTGTGCGTCTGGTCCACGTCGTCCTCGTCCTCGTCCTCGTCCCCCCATGTAGGTGCTTGGCTAGAGGAACTTAAGCCTCCTCTGCCTGCGAAAGGAACGTACACGTCTTACGTCGTGTCGTCCTACAACCACAACGAGCAGCCGCACGGCGTAGCCGATGTGACAGCATCTGTTGTACACAATTATGTTAACCGAAAGAATCTAACGTATTAATAATGTTTGAAAGAATATTTTGAATCTTTCGTCTAGGAAGCTATGTGTGTCGTTGTCCCTGACTCTTGGATGAAAACGCTCAATGTCTTCAACGGAGCATTTGAGGGTATTGCCCTGCAACAAAGTTCTCAGTAACAATACTTCTGAACACATAGCAACAGGTTTTGTTTTCTTTTGTACAAGAATCTAACGTATTATACGGATGCTACGGCTCGAAGGTGTCACTAATAAAATAGATACCTCTAACGCATAATGTATTGGTATGCAACTTAACGTAGAAAAATAAGGCAATTGACTTACCACTCTGTCCAAGATTGGTCCTGCCTCCACCTGCCTTTCTGCACGAGTAGATTGGTCGTACGCCGTGTCTTCATCGTCGGACGACTTGATGTCGGCGTAGTCATCTTCTGTCCATTGTAGCCTCAGCCTACAACGTGTCGCACGTTGGTAACAAGCTTAGTACCGCCTGAACTCACGGTTCGTGTGCGGCTCGTTGTTCTCGTCCACGTTGTCGTGCATCTGCTCCAATTGCTCAATATAGTACTGGTGGTGCTTCTCCCATTAAAAAATCCTTCTGCTCTTCTGACGATCTAACCTGCACGTATGTCATCATTACTTGAATCCATGTACATGTCACTGTATTAACGAAAATGGACCATCACGAGACATTTGAAATAGCAAAACACTTACTTATGTAAGTCAACGCCAGTCGAGAACGGAGCCGTTGGCCAAATCTATCTCACTCCAAATTGACGTGCAACTCTATCTGTCAGGTGGAACTCGACAGCATATAACTAGATTAGAGGGCACTTCATCCTATAGAAGTCGTCGTCGCACCCACACATGTTGCTCAAATGAAAAAGAAGTGCCCCCTCTCCATCGTACGACTCCTACGACACCTGCAACATGTCCAAACAAGATGTTAGATGGTATACTAAACCATTTCAAATCAGCATAGGAACTAAAATGGGGGAATTCTCTGTGTGCCATTAAAAAAAATCGCAATGCCCTGCGTGCCCCTGGAAAAGTTCAGCGGTCTTCAGCGCCACTGCTCTAACTTTTTTGTGCCCTCCATGCCACTGCCGTCAGTTTGAGCTCTAACGCCGTCAAACTGCAGGTGTGAAAAGTCAAAAATACCCTTAAGTCTAAATATGTCATTAATTTTTTGAGCATCTTAACGACTTCAAATGAAAAAACTCAAAACTAGAAAGTTGTAGATCTCGACGAGATCTATAATTTTTATATAAAAATTATCTTCATTTAATTCCGCAAAAAAAGATATGATTTTTTAAAGATATATTAATCATATCAAATCATATTTTTTTGTGGAATTAAATGAAGATAATTTTTATATGAAAATTATAGATCTCGACGAGATCTACAACTTTTTAGTTTTAAGTTTTTTCATTTGAAGTCGTTAAGATGCTCAAAAACATATTAATGACATATTTAATTGGAGCAGTTTGACGGCGTTAGAGCCCAAACTGACGGTAGTGGCATGGGGGCACAAAAAAGTTGGAGCAGTGGCGCTGAAGACCGCTGAACTTTTCTAGGGATACACAGAGCATTGCGATCTTTTTTAATGGCACACAAGTAATTCCCCCAAAATACTTACACTAGACGCCGTGAGCGTGTCTAGCTCGTTCGTGAACTCAATGTACGCCCGCTGTAACCTCGCATGCCGACGTGAAGGCTGACCTGGAAACCACTCACGACGAGCCAGAACCTCGGGACGACCAACTGGTAAACCAGCTCACATCCACAACTGAAGCAGGTACACGCATCCACCAAGTGATGTTGTGGACGAAGTCCGACGACACCCCTCATAAAGTTGCCGGTAAAGAAAACCCAAGACTGTATAGCCCTAGTTGTACTGACCCGCCTGGTCCCAGTCACTGAGGCAGTGGACCCACATCCATGACGTAGTGTCACCCGTGGTGTCGGGGAAGAGAACATAGACAAACAGATGTAGGATCCACGCACTGCAGTAGTACCCAACTGTCTCCTCATCTGCCTCCTCGAGGCACTGTGCGAACTCTTGTCGGAGCCAGGAGATTAGAACTCCAGAAGTGCGAGCCCCTTGCTCGCCAACCTCACGCCCAAGGAAGGTCTCTACTCGTGCTCTCTAGCCTTCTGACCTGCACTGCCCAATGACTGCGTTGCTATGAATCCTCAGGCCTAGCATCTTCTAATGACCCTAGAGCGTGATTGTCATCTCTCCGAAAGGTAAGTGGAAGCTGTGAGTCTCCGGCCGCCACCTACATTTTAGACAAAGTAAGATTACATGTCAAAAAGGCAAGCGCATGAACAAATGGCCATGAATGGAGGCAATGATTGAAGATAATACATGTCAACCAACGCAGTTATGGCCGCTGAGTTGAACTTGGGCAACCCACGATGAACTTGAAAGAGATGGCATCCAGGCCAGCTCTTTGCAGAAAATAAGTGTACATGTTGTCGTATTGCATGTCCAAGAACCCATTGTAGGTTCTAGGACGAAGGAGCGGAAGGTCCTACATGGAATAAAACATAGTCTCCCGTTACTTCACAAACATATGTACGCTCACAAAAATTTGAACAAAACGTATAGATTATTACCGGCCCCTCCGCTATGAGACGTCCTCGGTGGGTCGCTTCGTACGTCGGGTCGAGC